ACAATATAAATTAATTTTTTTTTTTAATCGGGCCTTGAACATATTTATCTAATAAAATTTTACGTATAACTTTTTGTAATTAGAAAATAGAACCATTTATAGACACTTTCTATATTTCTTTTTCTTAATAATTACTAACTAGTAGATTCCTTTTATAAATTTGTTTAAATTTTTCCGCAACGCTTGCGCATTACCAATTATTGAACACTCCTCCTACTCTTTCTTGGAGAGCCAATAAACATCTATCTTCTATCCTTCAGTGTTGGAACAAGTCCCGCTTATGGAAAACTTGCTCAACTAGCCATATAGGAGTATTACATATATGACTCGCGCATAGAGGAAAAAAAGCGCTCAAAGTAGGGAGACTGCCCTCCTCCGCTACTCAGTATCGTAAACATAAATACGTTCAGAATTTAGATTTTAGTAAATGAAATAATTTTTCATTTTAATGTACTATCAAGTTTTTTAATATAATTAAATGTAGTAAATGTATAATCAAGTAATTAAATGTAATTAAAATATCGATAAAATCGAAACGTTTATATAAGCATGAAGAGCGGTACAGCACTGTAGAGTGAGGAAGCTTTCTGGTAGGAGAAACGCGCAAAACAAATGCATTTTGTTCATGGATGTTCCTATTCTCTCGTTGAATCGAGTATAGAGGAGGTCCGCGAAACGAGCGAGTTTTTGTTTATTCAGTTTCTTTTCTCAAATTGAACGCGGTATAAAGAGTTTCTCAAGGAGACAGTCGTTTCTGATTGGACAGAGGGAAAAGCTGCCCAGTGACGTCACGAGGTTGCGACTTTCTCCCTGAGAGGCTCTCTAGTCTCTTCTAGCAACGATGCGTGCATACTGTCAGCAGCTCGGTCTCGGTCCTGCTTTCTTCGTCTCACTCATCTGGTCTGATAGTCTTGTGGTGTCAGTCCAGTTGGTAACAGGCTTTCGAAGTGAATGGCGCGTTGAGAAGAACTGCAGTTTGTTCTCAGTATTCTGTCTTTCCCTTCTGCAACCGCGACGTGAACGTGTCAGATTGTTTTTGCACAAATTCAGTGTTCTTGACAAAGAAGAAGAGATCGTCAGACAATCATCATTGTCATTATTTGCACAACGCTACGTTGTCGGTCGATTGTTATGGAGTCCGTCGACAGAATTATTTGACCTACGGGAACGACTCCAGGCTCGTTGGTGGGATTGTGTTACTGTCTCGCGTAAGCGCTGCAAATTGGTGAGTGAATATATGCAATCTTTATCATCGTGTCGTCATCATCATTGTCGTATCAATAAGACAATGAATGACTACTTCTTTCGTTTGTTCTCATATTTTCTTGTAAGTGACAACGCTTTCGTTTCTTTTTTCCTCTTGTTCTTTTTGATACATGCGACAGCGCTCTCTTAAAAGAAAGCGTTTCTTTGCGATCAAAAATGATGTTATATCATTTCATGCGGATCTCTCAATGCGCTTCAAAACTTCGTCAGAGTAACATACGAAGATGTGCGCACTACACATACGAATATCTCGATCAATCATTAAAAAAACACAGTTACACAGCTCGCGAAACTTTGTGTGCTCTTTAGCACTTCGATTATTTTCTAATTATATTGCTTCTTTTAATTTTTTACACAGTGGACTTCGACACGCGTATCAGTATGCATTATTCAAATCAGTACACAGTACATATGTACATACATACATATTACTTGTGTCAGCGACATATCGTTTTAACTTTTTCGAATTTTGTTGTCTGAATCTCTCTGTTCACAGTTTTACAAAAATACAAAACCTTGAAAGAGAGAGAGAGAGAACAGAAGATAGCTCAGCTAGAGAAACCCTTTGTATGTACTCTTTTAATGCGGATTTGCTGAAATGTTTATCGAATACGAGTTCTCTTGGACTTTTTGCCAAATACACTCGTGTCATATTCCAGCTGTTCATGACAGTTCGACAGAAACACACGACTTTTGTCCGCTGTTCGCTTTCGAGCCTGATTCATTGTTTTTTCTCTTGCTTTACATACACATATGTACATATATACGTGTGTGTGTGTGCGCGCGCGCGCGCGTGTGTGTGGCCATATTGTATCCTTCTTTTGACTTTGGATTTGTGACTGATTTTCGCATAATAAAAGAATACAAAAGAAACTTAAACCTTTTGTATACACAAAAGGAAGAGAGAAAACCCGTGTATGTTTCAACTAATCAATCTTTTCAATGTTACTTTTTTAGCGAGAGAAAAATGAGAGAAAAATATTTATATCGATAAATATATAATATACTTCAATATACAATATACTTACTTTGTGGTGTTTAATTGAAGTTTCCAAGCTTTTGAAAGTAAAAAGGCGTTGTAAAATAAATACAAAGAATTTTCTCCAGCTTGAGATTTATAGTGCACAAAAATATACAAAACTATAACGTTAAATATATATGCAAAACAATAAATTTGATTAGATTGACTCGAAGTATCGATGATTATTGTTATATTTTTCAAGTAGACTGTAGTCTACTTGAATTGATAATTGTCCTATGCTCAAAATATAACAATATTCATCGATAATGTTAAATCACGCTTCAAACGGTTATTAACAAAACTTTCTTACGCTTGGTTTTTACATTAAAAAGAAACTGCTAGCTTCACTTATGTTCAGCTAAATATTTTTTAGGACAATTTTTTATCTTAAATGCTGCTTATTATAATTGTAAGATGTAAAAGATGTAATGAGGTATTTAAAACATCTTTATACAAATTCTCTCGCTTTTACTCTCTCTCTCTCTCTCTCTCTCTCTCCCCTTCTCTCCCCCTCTCTCTCTCTCCCTCTCTCTCTTTTTCTCCCCTCTCTCTCCCCTCTCTCTCTCCCCTCTCTCTCTCTCTCTCTTTCTCTCTCTCTCTCTCTCTCTCTCTCTCTCGAGGGCTAGAAAGAAGGATGCCTGAATAGGATTCAAAGAGTTGCTTTGTTATTTGTGACGGCGAGAAATATCTGACAAGAAGTTCAATCACGTTTCTGATCTCTCCCCCCCCCCTCTCTCTCTCT